ATGTTCAGTGACTCAACCAGGCCTGTGCTTCCCAAAGAATCCTTGTTCTAAAACTTGTTTTTCTCCTACCCTGACTCATTTCCTTAGATCAGTTTGGTGTGAGGTAGTTAGGTTAAAGGAATACCTTGATCCCTTAAAAAAGTTCCCATGCTTCACTATACAGAAGTAGGGGGCTGACCATGGCCTTGACCCCATGACCTCTGAAGCCTGCACGTGGCTTCTTTATGCCCCACCGTCTTTTTTACTTCCCGTCCCCCGCATCCCCGCATCTCTCCGCTGTCTCCCTCCTGAATCCCCATGAGCACTTTCTGGTCGGTTCCTCAGTCCTCCCAGCCACAGTGGAGACCTAGTCACATTGTGCATTTTATGATTTGTTTTGTTTTTGCTGAAACTTGGGTAGCTGTTGGGTGGTTATGTCACATCTTCACCATCCCGCTCGCTCTCGTCCTTCCCCCATCTCACTGGCACCAAGGAATTCCCTGGCTTCGGGCACATCCACATTTAGGACCCCTTATGACCTCTGCTTCTACCTCAAACAGGCTTATCAAGGACTGTCTTCAAACTAAGACTGCTCAGTCTAGGAAAGGACCCTCCAGTGGGTACAGTTTTCTCGGTGGTAACGGTAGAATAGGTAAAGAAGGTAATCTTGAGGAGGAAGAATTCTTCTTCTAGCCACGGAGGGTGTTGATGATTTAGATTAAAGAGATGCTCGGGGCCATGGCTTCATGAAGGTAGAGCCCAGGCCTGAGCCCCAGTGAGGTGCAGGCTGTGGACTGTCCCCAGATGGGGTTTCTGTGGACATGGCAGGGGAAGGCATTGAACCATATGGGGCGGTCGCTAACCGGAGGTTGCAGAGGCCCCTGAGCCACGGTGGGGCACAGACAGACCCAGAGGCAGAAGTGTCCCCTCCTGCCGTCAGCTGAGTTGGGGGTTCTGTCTCACTGGGCGGTGTTTGCAGCTCTGCAGGGGACCAGACCGTCGTGCCCTTCTTTGCATGAGCTTTAAAGGCTCAGTTCCGGGAGCGAGGTGCTGGAGAGGAGCTGGGTGGCCCTTCCACCCCGTGTAGCACAGTCCACATAGGGGTCAGCTGCTGGTCCTAAGCGCCACCATCCATTTCTTGTTCTCCCCACCTTTCCCTTACCTTAGCACAAACTAAACACTTGTGAGAACAGTCTGTCTTGGGCAGTGCCAGCTTGCTTGATTTGTAGCTTTCTTTCCTGTTGGTTACTTTCTTGCTCTGTCCTGGACTATATTTGGAATGTTTCCAGGGCTCATTAGACACATCCTTTCCACTCTTCAGATTGACCGTCTGTAGGCAGGGAATTAATCTCTCAAGTAACAGATGCACTCTCAGATGACGTCCTTCCAATTCTGGGAGTGTCTTTCACTGAGAGCCTAGCTGTGGCTAAGAACCTTGGCTCTGGAACCAGACTACCTCCGTGGAAGCCCAGCCCTGTCACTCACCAGCCATGTGATCTTAGACAAGTTATTGAACTATTTCATGCCTTGGTTTCCTCACATAGTTGTTTTGGAGATTAACTGGGATATAAAACGCAATTGTCAGCCAGTGTCTGGTCCACATAAGTACTCAGTAGGTGTTAGCTGTTCTGTGACTCCTGTTGAAGAGTGTGCAAACTGTCGGGAAGCAGGTTAGTTCAAGGAATAGCGTTTATGTTCTGGCCACGTTTTATTTTAATTAGCATTGTTACTCTCCTATAATGACTGTAGGACATTCATAGGGCAAAATCATGGATTTGAAACCTACCAGTCAAGTTTTATTCTAGGAGGAGCAAACAAGCAGTCTTGCTCCAGGCAAGATGAGTGAGGAGGCGGATGTCTGAGAAGGCGGAAGTGAGTGCTCTGTTCTGGTCTCAGGCGGGTTGGTATTGCAAACAATGTAGGGCCTGCCAACCCTCAAAACACACGCAAGTGTCCTGTCTCTGGGATGGGTCTCCCCATCACCACTGGAACGTTTGTTGAAGGCTGTTTGTTACCTTCACCTGCTGTCTTTTCCAGGTCTTTGCTGGGCCCTGTTCCGCACAAAGCCTCTTCTGAAAATCCGCACCTGCACTCATGGCTTGGGAGTTCGTTCCCGTAGCCCCTCGTGTCAGCATTGCCGGGTCACCCTGCTTGTTGCTCATTTGTGCTGTTATTCCTCATTGTTATGTTAGATGACTCCTTTCCCTGTTTGGGTGAAAATCTTTTGGGGTCCTGCACTGACCGTATGTAATAGTTGCTTATTTAATTAATAACCCTGTGTGCACAAATTTTGAGCGTTACCCTTTAAGGATAAAACTGAGAGTACTTTGTGTGTGTGTGTGTGTGTGTAAAATATGAAATGAAAAGTCAGCCTGGGGATTTCCAGTATCTACTTCATTTTCAGAAGAAAGGCACTGTGGTAGTGTCCATCAGTCTTGGGAGGAAATTTACAGGAGGCTCTATTTTTCTTGCATACTTTTGGAGTGGCAGAATGGGAGGATTGGTAAGAGCGCAGGCTTGGGAGAAAGGCAGAACTGTACCAAATCCCTTTTCTGCCAGCTAATGGCTGTACCCACCTAATAGCTATATGGCTCTGGCTGACCCCCTGGCCTCTAGGAGCGTCTGTTAACACGTTAGTAAGATCTACCTTTAGACTGTTAATTATTCACAGTCATGCCCTTAAAAAAGTTTGGGCCCAGGATGCATGGATGGCTCAGCCGGTTAAGTGTCTGCCTTCGGCTCAGGTCGTGATCCCAGGACCCTAGGATGGAGTCCTGCATGGGCCTCTTTGCTGCTCAGCAGGGATCCTCCTTCTGCTCCTGCTCCCCTGACTCGTGCATGCTCTCACTCACTCATTGGCTCTGACAAATGAATAAAAAAAATCTTAAAAAAAATTGGGGCCCTAAACATAGGAAACACTCAGATAATGATAGCTATGTAATGGGTCTCTGGCATTTAAAAAAACAAAACAAGAAAACTTTAAAAGATTAGAAAGTTTACAGGAATGGTTTGCATCATTTCAGTCTGTACTTCATGCTCCACCACTTTGGTTGCCTGTAGGATAAATCCACTAACATCTGACATTCGAACCCAATGCCCAGGGATCCATCCCATTTTTCCTTTTCCCTATCAGAGTTTCGTCTTTGGCTCCAGTGGGAGTACCCTCGGTCTGACTCTCATATACTACCTGATACCTGCTCTTCCCCTACCTAGAACTCGTGGCACTCCAGCTCCTGTCTGTTGTACAAGCTTTAAGTCATTGCCCCACAGAACTGACCTTTCATGACCACCCTGCCTTTGCATTCCCGGAGCATTCATTGTTCCCATCTTTCTTTTGGCACTTGTTGTATTCACTTTTATTATGTGGCTTTATGTACATAGATTTCCTTCCAGCCAGAATGGGACCACTCAACTCTTTTTAAGAAATTATGAAATATAGTATATAAACAAAAGGGTATATAAAATTTTCTTTGTTTTTTGTTTTTTTTTTTACTTAATCCAAGCTAAGAAATGGAACACAACCAGGGCGCCTTGCTGGCCCAGATGGTTAAACATTTGCCTTCAGCTCGGATCATGATCCTAGCGTCCTGGGATCAAGCCCCACATGAGGCTGCTGGCTCAGCAGGGAGTCTGCTTCTCCTTCTCCCTCTGCCTCTCCCCCTGCTTGTTCTCTCTCTCTCTCTCTCTCTACATATATGTATCTGTCTCAAATAAAAAAACCATTAAAAAATTCTTCAAAAAAGAAAACAGACACAACTAGTACCTTAGAAGCTGTCTTGTCTATCCCTTCCCCATCACAGCTTCCCCTTTCCCACAGAGATAACCAACATCATGACACTATATTGATTACAGTTCTCTACTTTTTTTTTTTTTTTAAGATTTTATTTATTTGAGAGAGAGAGCATGAGCAGGGGGAGAAGCAGAGGGAAAGAGAGAGGGAGAAGCTGACCTTCCTCTGAGCAGGGTGCCTGATGGAGGGCTCAATCCCAGGTCCTGGGATCATGACCTGAACTGAAGGCAGATGCCCAATTCCACTGAACCACCCAGGCCCCCCCAGTTTTCTAGTCTTTAAATAGTTCTTTTTTTGTTTTGTCTTGCCCTGTATAAGTGGATGAATTTCTGTTTGAATATTTAATAAATTCATCCATTTGCTACATAATGTGTGTAGCTCTAGTTGATTTTCACTGCTATATTTTATTCCCTGATCTGAATATACCATAAGTTGTCCTTTAAGAATGACAAAATAGATAATTTTAAAATCTCAGTGACATTCAACAGTAAGTATGTTTCTTGCTGGTATGTTGGTGGCAAGGCTGGAGCAGCTCTGATGATCTCAGCAGGCTTAGGGAGCTGGGCCATAGGTTTGATTCACATCCACTCCGTGGGTCTCATGCATTCTTCTGCTGACAGAGGTCCCTCAGAGAGAAGGCAGGTTTTTGTTTTGTTTTAGACACACTGTTGCTTCCTCCTCCATTTCACTGGCAAAGGCAGGTTTTGTGAGCATGCCCAATTAATTATCAGGGTGGCAGGGAAGTGTACTCCCCTGTGGAGATTGGAGATTGGGAAAAGGGGTGAACACTTGCTGAACAAGCTTGAAGATCCGGTCACTCAGGTGGTTTATAGTTCTTTTTCAAACAGCGCTGCTGCTATGAACATTTCAGCTGTGTCTCTGGTTCCACATGGGAAAGACCTGTCGGGTCTGTTCCTAGGAGCTGAGCGTCTGGGTCAGAGGTGCGAGCGTTTCCAGTGTCACTAGGTAATACCAAATGGTTTCCCAGGTGGTTGTGCCTTTCCTACCACAGTGGATTGGTATTTTGTTTGTTGCACTGATCCACTGCTACTTTTGGATTTTTGTATACATTTAACGTACAACTGAATAATTTCAAAAATAGGTCTAAAAATTTTTTCAGTGAGCTCAAGTTTTTTTCCAACCACTATTTCCAGTGGAAGGTGCATCATTAAGGCTACAAAACAAAGTGCTCAGAATCCACTAATGGTTTCAACTTGTGTTCTCTTGGCAGATTTGGTGCAAATGCCAAAGTTGTTCATTTCCTGGGACGAATCAAACCATGGAATTATACTTACGATCCTAGCACAAAGAGTGTCAAAAGTGAGTCCCATGATCCTACCATGACTCATCCAGAGTTTCTGAACCTGTGGTGGGACATCTTCACCAACAGCGTTTTACCTCTGCTTCAACAATTTGGCCTTGTCAAAGACACCCACTCATACCTAAATGTGGTAGGTTCTGTTTTTTTCTTTCAGGCAATTTAATGCTGTAGTTTTTAAAACTTGGTATACTGGTAGAGGTAGTGTTTAGTGGTACTTTAAATGGAGGTGGTATTTGTAGCAAAAAGAAATGTCCATCTTACAGGGAAGAAATACTGTCAGCAAAGACTTTGTAGATTTTGTAGCAGATTTTTTTAGATCTGAGTGCGTAAGAAAGGACTTTAGAAGTTTATATGTATGTATGTGTGTGTGTGTGAGAGAGAGTGTGTGTGTGTGTGTATACACACATATATATCTGTATCTAGTATGTACAGAATTCTTAGCCCATTATCCTAAGATTCTGAGATTATTCCTAAAGTATAAAGAATGTCTTATTTCAGGTTTTAGAAACTACAAACATTTAAATAGACATATTGTTTATTTTTGCTATCTGCTTAGAAGAATGTATTTTCAGTGAACATTACAATAACATGATTGAAAACAAACACTTGCAAAAGCAAATACTTTTCTAGTATTATTTTGGTTTGCCATCCTTCTGCTCTTAGGGTTACATAGAATCTTGAAAAAGAAGTCTCCTTGGAAGATGGCATTAACATTTTAACAGCAACTTGTTTAGCCTCTTTTCCAAGTTTAAATGTCTTCCTCTGAGGTTTGTTCTTTTGGAAGAATTGGAAGAAGATGAGAAGTTACACTTCTCTGCTACATATTAAGATACAAATAACAGAACTGAATGGATGAATTACAGTTGAGTCTAAGGTTGTAAGAGATCCTTTCTTTGCCATGGTAGAGATTTTAGCCATTTCACTTGGTAGCACTTGTACCAATATATAAAATGGAGAAAGGGAAATATACACTAAGATTCTTATTTTGCTTTACATGGACCATGAAATAATACTTTGTATAGTACTCAGAACATTGCCTGGCATAGTAAGTGTGTAAAGAAAGCTAGCTATTACTATGTAACCCTTAGGACTACTGTCAAGTAAGTGTTACTGTTATTATGTCCTTTTGTATATTAAGATTAAGTGAGACTTAAAGAAGTAACTTCTCTTAGTTACATAACATACTCATCAAAAGCAGAACTGGGACTCAAATCTAGGTCTGCAAGACTCTTACCTTCCGAACAATATTATGAAAAAAGAACTCTGGAAGAGCCTCCCAATATCATTGCTGTTGCAAGTGGAAGCAAAGGCAGGGCTGATCCAGGGTAAGGACTTAGGTTGCTTCAGCTGTGAAACCTCCCCATGGAATCTGCCCAAATACCTTGGAGTTTCAATATATTTAAACATCTTTATATATACATATACTGACCTATATATAGCAACGAAAACCAATAATCAAAAATTTTGTTCTTCCATTTTCTCTGTTAAAAGCAATACCTGTATGCATTCATTCGCCTCCCTTTTTCTCTATTTCTAGTACCTTCTCACCTCAGAGCTTTTTGAAGGATAGCTTTGATATTCTTCTACAGTCAATTGAAGTTAATTGCCTTTCTATGAGATTCTGACTGAACGTAGAGTAGGTTTGCTCCATTTCCTGCACATTTCACTTGTTCCTTCCACAACCCAAGGACTGAGAATTATGAACCAAGGGAAGGGGATGGGAATTTAAACAGCTATTCAAGACTAAGCCAATTAACACGAGCTACGAGAGTAAATGCTACTTGATAACAAGCTTGAACAGGCAGATAAGTTGGGTGCATAGTCTCAAACCATTTAGCTCCCACTTTTATAACATGACAACTTGTGTATGTGGTGTGGCTCTCTGGTTAGGTGCTTTCTGAAGGTTAGCCTCTGAGGTATCATTTTGTTTAAGTTCTCAACCTTTCAGAGCCCACACAGATCGAGAATTGATCGTGAGACTGTGTTCCCTTGTCTGTCCATCTTACACTTTCTAATGAACTGTTTGCAGCTTTCAGACTTGGTCTATACACTGGCTTTCTCTTGTGGCTTCTGTAGAAAGGTATGCAGAACTTAAACATTGACCCTAATTTACTTTGTTCTCCCAATGTTTTCACTGAGTCAAGAAGTCTTCATTTCGTTAGGAATAAATCATATGACCCTTGTATTTTTGTGTCTTTTGTTCGTTTCATGTAATACTTTTCAGTTTATGCTACTTTGCATGATAATTCATCCTGGCTTTTCTCACCTTCAACTTCTTGCGTTCTTTAAAACAGTCTGATTTGCAGCTCTCAAGGAGTCTGTGATTATGCTCTCCTTTTTAGGAAGGCGTCTCAGGAGCTGTATCACATCTGTCCCTTGGGGAGATCCCGGCTGCGGCCCAGCCTTTTGTGTCCTCAGAAGAACGGAAGGAGCGGTGGGAGCAGGGCCAGGCTGATTACATGGGAGCAGATTCCTTTGACAACATCAAGAGGAAACTGGACACTTACCTCCAGTAGAAACACTGCCTTTTTCCCATGGACACACCCACTTCACAGGCACTTCTTTCTGACACTTAGTATCTCGAGCTGGGTTAGGAAAGGTCTCTTACGGTTGCTAGAAGCTTTGCTAGAATTCATCAGATGAGGGGATTTTGCAAGACAACAGGTGAGAACTGGGCAAAAGTTGTGAAGTAGCAGTTCTGTTATGTGGACAGCGTTCTGCTTGTTAACCCTAGGCTTATTCATTACTCAGCTCTTGTCGGAAATTCTTAATTTTGCCAACGGCCAGCATATGTGGTAAGGGAGAGTCAAGCTAATTAAAATGGCTGTTATGGACTCTAAAAATGTGCCGGTATGGCTCTAGATCAGTCTCTCTTCAGAATGGGACAGGGTCTCTCTCTCCCGCTTGCACGTCGTAGCTTTCACTAGACCTGCATTTTATTTAGAAGGGCCCAGAGACTGCCAGAGTGATTGTGATTTTGCTTTCAGGTGAAGATATCCTGTAACACTGCTGAGTGATTCATAAACCTATCAGCAAGCGGCGTTAACCCATTTTATTTCCTAACTGTAGTGTCTGAAATTGTTCACCAGTTTTCTGTATACTGTAAGGCAGCATGCTAAAATGCTTTTTTCAGTTCTGTGTATCTATAAAGAGCAGTGTGTTCTCTGATGGTTACCTGCGGTGGCACCTTGTATGAAAATAAAGGCTTCTTGCCATATTTTGGTTGTCTAATTAAGGGAATCCCACTCCCCTTGGAAAAAAAATGTATTAGGTAGTTTTTCATAATCTGTAGAATTTGTCAATGTTTTAAAAAACCAGCATAAAACTTGACACTTGGAATTGGTTTCTAGATATCTAGAAATAGTTCAGTCTAGTGTTCTCCAGTGACGATGATTTATCTGTTCTGTCACACTGTCTCTCCATATCAAGTGAGTGTTCAGATTGTAGAAAATACTGCAATGCTAAAATCATCACAGGTTCATTGTCAATCTCTGGACATACTTGATAATCGTTCAGGACTTCTAGAATCAGTACTAGAACTAGTATTTCTATCCATGAATTAAAATGATATACGTGTAAAGGATATTTATTAAATGTATAGAGGATTCTAGGTTGCAAGGATGGCAAGCCAGGGAAGGGCAGGATCCAAAATGACCTTTTTAAAGCGATGTGAGTAATTAACTCTGTTGGAGGAAAACCAACCAACCAACCAACCATCCAGCCAACCAGGAGAGTAGACCAGGACCAGAAACTCGAGAGGTTTAATTGGGCAGAAGCTGCAGTGGCTTTTGTGACCTAACTAACCTGCAAGGTCACCCTTTTATTTCCACAACATCCTACTGGTTACATGAGTCAGCCCTATTCAATTTGGGTGCGAATGAAAACACAGGGATACAGAATCCTGGAGGCAAGAATGGTTAAGGGCTACCTTGGAGGCTGACTACGGAAGAGCTCAAGAAGTACCTGAGGATTTACCTAAAATTGTAAAATATCAAATAAATGATTTCTGAAGATAAACTACGATTGGGTGCCTCTTCTCAAATTATTCCTAAATCCAAGGATCTCCATGTTGGGGCATTTATCAGGATGTAACCCCATCATAAGTCGAGAGATGTGTATATAAAATAGGAAACTGGTTTCCTGGCATCCTCCAAAGGTAACCAAAGTGATTGTGGGGGGATTGTGTTCTAAGCATCATTATGAATTACTGAATTTTGATGTAGTTGGTGTCTATTCATTGCAGTTATTCTTAAAGATGATCTTATTGTTCTACCTTTATGATTTACATTTTAAGAACACTGCTTTTGCAGCTGGTGGAAAATAGCTTGAGTTGACGACAAGAGAGTTGATGGGAAGGACAGTTAGTTTACATTCATGGTCCCGGAGAGAGACTGTGGTAATCTAGCATACCTTTCACCAGGATGAAAGCAGTGAAGTTGCTGATGGATTGAAGAGTGGGAAAAGGAGTAACTGAAGATGAGGGGCTTGAGCAACTGTGTGAGGCTTCAGCCTCGCTGCTCCCTAAAGCATTGGAGACTTAACTGTAAGTAGTTTTTTATGCCTCATCACTTAAAAATTGATTCAGTAGGTCTCGGTTGAGGCCAGTTACTCGGCGCATTGTCTCTGCTCCAAGTAACTGCCAGGCAATCCAAAGACTCTGACCCAAATAACATTTGAAAACCACTTGATACATTAAGGTGGTATTTATACTAACTACAACAGGGAATGAGGTTTTTAGCAGAAGATGCATGAAGAGGTCAGGTGGTGGTTGCATAGCAGAGGCTCAACTTCTAATAATGAAAGTGAAGCCTTTCCAAAAGATAATCTCAGTTCTTTGAGTGATATAGAAAACATTACCATAAATAACATGTGTTAATATATTTGTATAGTGTTTATCTTTTTAATGTCACTGAGACTTGGAGCATTAAGCTGACGTCAGATTTGGCATGTCCTTAAAATGGTCTGCTATCGTTTACTTTTTTCTTTGCTTATTATTACAAACACACAAATGGATTATAGTCTTTTTATACTTGGGTTATTTGATTAACTTATTTCTCTGGTTTTCAGATGGTGAAATTCAATCTCCTTTAAATAATATGTAAGAAAGCAAAAGAAGAAAGTTTACTGGGCATTTACATCTCAATTCTGTCAATCCTATGATGTATATATGGTATACACATTTTTGCAGATAAGCAGAGAATAAGGCAAATAATCTATAGATTTTGATTCAAATTATTATACTCCAAACCCCAAAGCTATGCTGTGCATTAAAAAAAAGTATTGTCAAAAAAAAAAAAGTATTGTCACATAGTGAGATCAGAGAAACCGCCCTGTGTAATGAGAATTACAAATGCCAGAAATCTGGGGAGTAATACAGTGCATAGTAATAGACGAGTTTTCATTTTGCTATGAAGATAAGGACCGTGGCTTGAAGGAGGACTTGGGAAATACCATTTATAAAGGCTTTCATTAAATAGATTGCCTGAAATTATAATATAAAAATAAACTGATAAAATTCCAGGATAGAATTTGTTGTGAGATTTGGCTGGGACTTTGATTCAGCTTCTCTACACACGTTATGTTACAAGAAGCCTCTGTTACCCTGTTTTCAGAGATTTTATTGGCCTAGAAGAGGCACAAATTCTATTATAGGACTATGCTGTGATATTGTGATGTATTCAAGGTCAACATACACCTATATGGGCAAAGGCTTCTTACACCTTATACAAAGCAGTTCAGTTCTTGTGACCTAGTTATTCTGTATTTGTTTCTTGAATGGTTCTTTCAGCTACCATTTCTCACTACTGTTTGCCTAGAATAAAAATAGGAAGAGTCAAATGTTTAGGAAAGAGCCTTTGAATGCTAGTCCTTTTCCACTGAGTCAAGTACAGTTGACCTTGAACAACATAAGTTGAACTCTGAGGGTACACTTAACACATGATTATTTTTAATACAGTATAGTACTGTATTTGATTTTAATTTTCCAGCTTCATTATAAAAATACAGTACACAAGATCTATATCTATGTACATGTTGAGTGTTATCAGTGAGGCTTCTGGTTAGCAGTAGGCTAAGTTTTGGGGAGTCAGAAATTTTATGTGGATTTTCAATACAAAGCAAAAGCACAGAGGGGGTCAGCTCGCCTAACCCTCATGTTGTTCAAGTCAACTATATAGAGATTTACCGAAGGCTGCAATTTTAGATCAAAAAGTTTTTTGGCTCCTGGGTCCCTGGTTGAGATTAACAGAAATCTTTTCAGACAACTATACTGCCATGCAGTATATAATCTGAGTAATTAAGTGTATTTTGGAACTCTGTCTGTATCACAAGATTCAAAGCCTTTTTTTTTTTTTTTTTTACAATTGAGAAAAGGTTATCCAAAGCATCAGATTTGGTATGTGTGGGGGCATCAAACATATCACTTGGTGTTTTTTGTCTTAATACTTTCTGTCCCCCCCCCTCCTTTTTTTTTTTTTTTAACATTGTATAAGCAATAAAATCTCTAAAGTGGAAAAGCTTACATAATTTAAGTAAATACCTTTTGAAGGCTATTAGTGTTTTGATTCCAAAAGGATGATAGATATTCCATAGAAAATAGCATATAATGTGCATAAAAGTATCCAGTTAAGAGCCTGAGAAGTCACTGAACTAGGCTAACAGATCTCTTTCCTTGATCTTTTAAAGGATATGCCTTAATTAAGGTGAAGTACTAACTTTACCAACTACAGGGAGCCTAAAATACCAAGAGTCACCTAGTAAGATGTATAAAATGGCAACAATAACTCAGGTTATAAGAACATTTGTAGAGGATCAATATATCATTTCTTTTTAATCTTCTTGTGAACAGTGGTGGATAGAATAGCCTTTCAATGTAAGACAGATTTGCCCACACAAAGGTCAGATCCATGCCTTTGGGGATTAACTCCATGCTTAATCAAAGTCTGTAATTCATGCCTTATGTGAATGTTTATCTTAAATCTCCTTACTTAAACCTGCAAGAAGCCTTCACTGGAACATTTCTCATGAAATAGTTAATTTACCTTTTCTTTACAAACATTGATACCAGGGCAAGTTTTCTTTAAAAACCTACAGTGGGGGAGGGGGAGGCGCCTGGGTGGCTCAGTGGGCTAAAGCCTCTGCTTTTGGGTCAGGTCATGATCCCAGGGTCCTCGGATCCAGCCCCGCATCGGGCTCTCTGCTCAGCAGGGGGCTTGCTTCTCTTCCTCTCTCTCTGCCTACTTGTGATCTGTCAAATAAATAAAATCTTTAAAAAAAAAATAAAAATAAAATCTACAGTGGGGGCGCCTGGGTGGCTCAGTGGGTTGAGACCTCTGCCTTTAGCTCAGGTCATGATCTCGGGATCCTGGGATCGAGCACCAAGTCGGGCTCTCTGCTCGGCGGGGAACCTGCTTCCCCCTCTCTCTCTGCCTGCCTCTCTACTTGTGATCTCTCTGTCAAATAAATAAATAAAATCCTTAAAAAATTTTTTAAAAAAGCCTACAGTGTACTAGTAGGAGAATAGCCCTTCCCTCCCCTAACAAAAAAGGTAAGTTAAGCATTCAGGAAGCTGTATCCTGGTTAATTTTATCTTTCATTTTTAATTAACTAGAATGCTGAAAACACCACAAACTTACTGAAAATCTTCCTGAAAGTATTCATATCTCTTTTTTAGTAAGTGCAGCACATACTTAAGAATATATACTCTTTGAGGACTCTTAATATCCCTTCTGATCACACTAAATATCCTCTTGTAATAGTGTAGACTATTTCATGTGAACACATGTCCTACAATTTTTGTCCACCAACCTAAAAAATCGTTTTGACATTTGATAGCCTTCTAAATGAAGTCCTATAGCCTTAGTTATTATAAAGTTTTTGGACACTTGGCTGAGGTTAATGGAGTGGCCTGTGCCCTATACATTAAATTACAAACATTATTAAAATTGTGTTCTTTTCATATAGAAAACAATTTTCATAAAAAGTAGAAATGGATTTAAATTTGTCAGAAAACTCTTGACCAGGAAGCCTGAATAGGGGATTGGAAAAAGATTTAAACATCCTACATTTTAATCAAAAATCCTGATAATAAATCATTTGCCCTTTCCAATGAAGTAAATTATTGTGGGTTCATATAGAAGACTATTGTCTCTTATTACATACAAGAAATATGAATATATTAACAGGGAAAGAAGACATCTGCTTACAAGTTTTCTAATCAACAGTTTTCCCTTTGAAGTAGGTAGTACTGCAGGGAAGCATCCCAGTCATTATTCACAGCGACCAGTTTCTGGCTCTTCTTATTCATAAGTACTACACAAATGAGGTAGCAAATTCCAGAATGTAGAACCTGGTTACTACATCCTAATGAGGGAAAATTGTATTATACCTTTTGCAAGTATTTTACAGCTAATACAGCTAAAAACTTAAGGTTAAACAACTGAGTTATTATTATTAAGCCAAACCTGATACTTGTCCCCATGTGTTTAATGAATCTTCCAAATTCTAATGAATAGAATTTTGGCAAGTACTATAAAGAAAAAAAAACACCAATGCCTTGGACTCCCCCGCCCCCAACAGAAAACACACACTGCTGTGAAGATGATAATTACATTGGTACTCACTAATAATAAATTTTCCCGATTTACTCCTTCAATCCTAGATTAGAGCAAAATCTACAATACAGAGTGCTATCTAGTAATACCACTATATAGAAGTATTCTTTTTTTTCCTGGTAGATGAGGAAAATAACTGGAACCAATGTTTTAGAAGATCAAGGCACTTAACTTTAAAATATACACACTCTGTTTTCTAAGCAAATTCAAATTGAGCAAAATAAAGGGCTAAGAATAAACTTGTTACAGTACTTTTTATGTACGGTCAGTAAACAATTGTGTAAAGTAGGTATCTTCACAGAAGTGTGAGATTTATAAAAATTTTCTTCAAGGAAAAAGGCACAAAAATTACAGCATAGAAGCT